TGTCTTACTTGTACAGGAGGAAAAGGTGAAGACAGAAAGTGAAGGCTTGGAAATTCAACACCAAACTGTTGAGGACATGGATGAGAGTAGATGGGCATTCTTTAGGAAAATGCCAATGTTTGGAGAAATAACCGGAGAACAGCTGATTGTACTAATAGACTACATTGGGACAGCTCACTTTTTATACTGCCTGCTGAGATGGGCAAAGAGACATCTCACAGTGAGAAAGGTAACAGAAAGCCTCAATTGTTTAAACAAATGATGCTACAAAATAATAAAATATGCCCCTCTAATTGCTTCAGTTTTAGGTTGTGTGTGTGAGGTGGGGGGAGGGGGTGTGCATAACTACATGTGGTAATGTTGAATGGTTTAGTTTTTTATTTGTCCTGATCCCTGTTTTTGTTTGTCTCTTTCAGACTGAAACCCCCCAGAACCCCTCAGTGCTGTGCAGATGCTGCAAGAAGGTGGAAAGAGGGAAGCAGCTGAGAGAGAAGAAGAAGAAAAGAGAAAAAAGCAAAAAGATTTAAACAAAGACATGGACTGTCACTGCAGTCATTGTTAAAGTTATTATTAATGTTAATTAAACTTTCTATATACCAAATGACTATGTTCACTACTGAATTTATTTCTCAACATTTAGACTTAAGAAAAGAGTAAAACATCACAAAATGGAAATATATGTATTCATTATTTTATATACAAGCTTATAAAATCTATTCCCCTAGGTGGTTGTTACATACATACTGTACTATGCCACTGTGCTGCCAACAAAATTTCTGTTTCTTTATTATTTTAGGCGCAAACCATGGTAATGCTTCCACTGTCTTGATCACCCTAAGTAGTATAGTGTTTAATCTTTTTCAATTTCACAGCACAACATACTAACATTTAAATTTTGTTTAAATATTATAAGACAAAGAATAATAAGCCCGAGTGAGCAGTGAGTATGTTATTATTCAAAACCCTGAAATTGTAGTATTCAGGGATAGAGTTTGCCACATCATGTAAAAACAAAAAAACCCATTTGCTTTAAACCGACTTTTTAAATCAAAACCGCTTTTACCCACAGCTGCTACCAGCCACAATGTGACTGAAAGTGCAGCTATATCTGAAAGGGAGTGATTGCTTTAAGACAGTACCTGCATGCTATGGGAAATCCCTTCCCGATCGGACAGCAGCTCAGAAAGGTTCTTAGTTCCCAGAACATTCCTCAGTGTGGTCTGAGCCAGCAAGCGTGTGGAGAAGTCAGCGTCAGTCACATTGGCAACCGAGGAAATAGGGGAATTCACTCGGAAATACACCACACCATCCACAGACACTGTCACGGAGTCTTTAGTCAGGATCTAAATGGCAGCAGAAGACAATGGAATCAAAGCATTTATTAAGTCAAGTGAAGTTACTACCAAAGCCAAACGGACCATCTACTGTATAAATAGTAGATGCCATTTCATTGCCAGCAACTACTGCTGCACGCCGTCCTGTTGTACATTTGATAAATAAACTTTGATTTGATAAATGGATATCTATCACTCCTCATTCTTCATAATTCATTCTTACTTAATTATATTTTCTATTTTGTCCAGACTTCTCATCTTCACTATTTTATTTTTACTAGACATAAAACAACATGATACAGTAATCTCGATATTTAATACTTAACATATCATCCCCCTTTTTTAAAATGTGTGTTTATTTTGCTTGTTAACGTTTGGCCCTTTAGCTTTGATGAAAAGTAATACGTCCATGCAAACAAAGGTCACTGGATTGCTGTGTGATTGTGTAAGAGTGAAATAAATCAGTACCTCTTGTGGAGGAATGTCAAATGAAACTGTTCTCAAATCCACTTTCCTGAAGGTATCTGTGCATGGTAACACAAAGAAAAGACCTACAAAACAAAGAAACAACAAAAAAATTACATTTCTTGCATCAGTGGTCAATGCTGGTATCATTACTATTTACCAGAGGAAATATCAATATACTGTAGTATTCCCCACATACCATATGTAACCTCTGTAAGTCTCAGACCCCAACCAAGCACACATTTAAACAATCTTCAATGTGCAATGATGCCTATAACAGTGACACTATCTAAAAAAACTGCTTCTGAATGATAAGAAAAGCAGTAAATTAAGTTTAGCTCAGTAACAATCACTAAAATATCTGCAATGCTTGACAGAAAGATACGGAAACAAAAACTTCTCAATCCACATTTTTGCGCATACACTGTACAGTCCATGATGCTTAGACTTTATATTGTAGATGTAAAAAGTATGGACTGAGAAGTCATACAGTAAGTCTGTAGTGTTGTGATTGCAGATGGAGCTTTTTCATACTTTCACCCATGACTCACTGCAACTAAAGCACTTAGCTCCCACTCCAACCAGGAGGGGTGTTCACGCTGAGTTAGAAAGATGCTGCACTTGAAATGTTATAAAAGGGCATTTTCTGCAGAAAAGAAGGAACAAAAACATGAAATGACACATATAAAGTAAATATGGCCTTTTTTGTCTTGGATGGTACAATTCAGGAGCTGAAAAATCACATTTAGTCACAGATTTTTGTTTCAATTCACATTTAGATCATGCTGCTGTCAGTGTCATGTATGGCACTGTTTTAGCATCAGCCACTTATGTCTCACCTGGCCCCTTTGGTTTCCGAGAGGTGATGCGTCCCAGTCTGAAAATGACGGCTCTTTCATACTCCTGGACAATCTAAAATAAAAACAGCATTGGAATCAACCACTCGTTTTGCTGGATCTCTCTGGATGAGCCTAAAAAAATCTATCCAAAAAGCCAAATTGAAGTCTTATAGGATGATATTTCATATTACAACAATAAATAACAGCCATTCAGCAAAAAATAATACATTTTAAATTATGTGTGAAATCTTTAGTCAAGTGATTTTTAGTAAACTGCTATAAACAGATTGAATAATACAGTTATTATAATTGTGTCCTATCTTGTGAAATCTTCTTATTTATTGTTGTAGTCTTCTTATTTTTGTTTAACAGGATGATTTTGTCATCCTGTAAAGCGCTTTGAGAAGTTACCTTTAAAGACGCTATATAAAATAAAGTTTATTATTATTATTAGTATATTAGATGAAAAATGTCAGACTCAGGCTCATACAGCCAGCGGCCATATCACCCTGCAACTCACAACTGGCAACCCACTGAAGCTAAGCAGGTGTGAGCCTGGTCAGTACCTGGATGTGAGACCTCCAGGGAAAAACTAAGGAAGAGGTGTTAGTGGGGCCAGCAGGGGGCGCTCACCTGCAGTCCATGTGGGTCCTAATGCCCCAGTGTAGTGATGGGGACGATATACTGTAAACAGGTGCCGTCCTTTGGATGAGACGTAAAACGGAGGTCCTGACTCTCTGTGGTAATTAACATCCCAGGGCATTTCTCGAAAAGAGTAGGGGTGTAACCCCGGCGTCCTGGCCAAATTTCCCATCAGCCTTTATCAATCATGGCCTCCTAACAATCCCCCTCTCTGAATTGGCTACATTACTCTCTCCTCCCCACTGATAGCTGGTGTGTGGTGTGTGTTCTGGCGCACTATGGCTGCCGTTGCATCATCCAGGTGGGTGCTGCACATTGGTGGTGGTGGAGGGGTGTCCCCATTACCTGTAAAGCACTTTGAGTGTAGTGTCCAGAAAAGTGCTTTATAAGTGTAAGCAATTATTATTATACGACTTACCCTTAAACATAAAAATATGGAAACTGGCAAGGTTAAGATCACTAGAAAAATAGAGAGGATAACCAAAATCCAACCACAGCATCCCAGTCCGTTATTTTCCTCCCCTTAAAAATGGGAAAGAAATAAACAGAATAAATAATTAATCATAAATCACATGATTACATTAAAGCTGTGGATAAAAATGTGAAATATTAATGTAAAAATGTCACAGCATTTCTAAAGTGGCAAGATGGAAACAGGATACTCTGACATTGTGGTTAGCAGTATCTAAAAGTAACCTCTGTTAGGGATAGTGCTGGAGGCTGATCTTTTGTTGAAAGATGATCATGAAGCAGGAACTCTCACCTCGCTCAAACTTCAGATTCAAACTCCTAAAACATTTCTTTCTTATGGTCTGACATTCTTTTCCTTCCCTTCCATCCTTTCCTTCTCCTGATCTGATCTTATATGGTGTGTTTCTGGACTGTTGTTTGACACTTAATCATTTACGCAGAACTTAATTCACTAAAGATAAACCAGGGTTAACTTTATAATTGCTTTGATCACAGACTCTGGATCCTCTATACAGTAGCTCAGCAAACAAGCTCTGAAGCTGGAAATGTTGACACTACCAGGTGTTACACTTTATCTAGTCTTAGACACCTCCATTGACACCTTCTTCAGCCTGTAACAATATTTTAAATTAAGCTCCTTGTCTAGCAAGGCTTACTGTACTGTATGTATATTTGTACATATTATTTGTACATATTATGTATATTTCTTTAAGTTGGTCAGACACATTAATTGTAACTTTAAGCCTTTTGCTATGATGCGATTTATAGCACTGAGATGTGCATGAATTGTAACAGAAATACTTTACTTGAATTTTTACTTTTTACCCTTTTTAACAGGAGTCATGGTGCATTACTTTGCGATGCTCAGGAGAAGGCAATGTGTTCACTTGTTAATTAAGTACTGTAGTCGGTCAATAGCTGTGAGACACGTGACTGACCAACTGATGAAAAAATATGTGACTAGGAACAACATAATTAATGGTTTCAGTCTTGTACAATATAATGCATCTATTTCACTCAGTGATGACCTAACTTCTTTATTAGTCTTTCTAAATTGTGAGGACTACTTAAATCTTATGTTTCTTATCTGTTGATAGGTAATATTGTTTTAAATGTATTATGTATTGTGTTATGTCTTTTACCTGTCTGCAAAACAAATATCCCATGTGGGACAATACAGGAAGTCTTATCATAGGAGAAGGTTGAGTTACAGCAATGAAAACGTTAACTCTGGGAGCCAGCCCATAATTTCTGGCTAGCAGAGATTCCTGGAAATGAATTTCAGGACATACCTTAAAACAATTCTTATTCATATAATATAGATTTTATAATCTAGTGAACTACAGCCTTTACTGAATGTGTCTTTGATTTTGGTATATGAGGGTATATATGGTATATGAGGGTGTGGATAAGCTTATGTCTGAAAGTTTTAAGAAACTTTGGCTGCTTGCCAAATGCCAAATGGATCTTAAACACAACTACTGTACATATGGATAGGATATACATTTTTATTGGTTTGTTTTTTATTGCTGTTCAGTGATTCAATTTCTTTTGTCAAGCAAGCATTTACCCTGTGGAAACCTCAAACTATGTATTTCAAAATGTTAAGCCTGCACCCAGTTTCAAAGTATGCCTTGGGCATTAACTCCGATGTCACATGGTTTTGTTTACTTACAGCCCTCACACTTACACTGATAAGGGAATATGAACTTCAAAGGTCAGTTTGCACATTCTTCCTGTCTTGATGCTAGGTTTCTCTAGGAACTAAGGTTTCCTCAAATTTCCCTGTCCAATGTTTTGCCTAAACCTTGTACTTTTGAAAAAGTGTCATTTTCCTTGCTTTGTTTGTGTGTCCATGTGACTTAAGATGAATCATGAAGTTGTTTTCAAACCAGCACTTTAGCTGACTTCTTTATTAATTAGAAGATATCAAAAGCACAGGTAAATAGGCTGTAAGTGGAATCAGAGCAGATCTACACTATAAAAGTGTTCATTTTACATACTATCAGACATCAAGTGAAACATTTCCCTTTTGGGCTCTGTACAGTTCCTGTGTACTTGGAAAATATTTTATTAGGTGTACTGAAAAATCGTTACGTTTGCTTAAGGAAGACAATTGTCTATTGCCTGCGCAATTATACAAGGAAGTACTGTATAGGCTAAGTAAATTATTTTGTTAATAAAAATAAATATGACCAGAGCAATGTCACAACCTAACCAAAAATAAAATAAAGAAAAAATGTTCTTGAAAATGATTTTTAATTTTAAAAGTGCTCAGCTAAAAGAAGAGACACATCTGAAATCCATTGCAAATCCAATTCAATAAATACATCTATTACAGTATCAAAATTTAAACTTTTATACTACCATGCTAACAGGCAAACAGATCTGACCCTTTTGAGTCTGTGGTGTTATAAAAAGTGAGCACTATCCTGGGGCAGCTGGATATAAAAGAGCTCTTTCCTGGTCATGGTAGATTTGATTAAATGTCAAATTAAAAGCCTCTTTATAAGACTCTGCTTTGAAACACTGTGAAATTACTAATTATTCATATAGCTACTGTTCATATACACTACTATGCAATACTCTTTTATGACAAGTCAGAAGGTACATAATATACTTTTATTATTAACAGTAACAATTTACCTACACTTTCCATTAGCATTTTATACTGTACATTATAACAACTTGAGCTGCTCTAAATACAGCTAAATTTTGGCAATACAAAACCAAGCTTATCTTTTACTTGACACTGACCGGAATGTTTAAAAGTCCGAAGAGTCTGTTACATTTACTGGTCAAATCTAATTAATTAATTGTCAAGTGTCAATGTCCTCATGTTGAACAAGAATACAATACTACCAGAATTAGCAACTATCATTAAATGAAATGGGTAAAATTTCTGTATGGGGTTTCCACAGAATCAAGTATCCACAAAAATTAGAAAACATACTGAGTGAAAGCTCAAAACAATGCAAAACGTCTACAACTTTTGCATAGCAGTCTTTTATATGTTTTTTCCCCCAACAATTCCAACATTAATTCAACGACTAATATAGGATAAGACTGAAAATCAATTTATGAGTTTAACTTTATTATTATCCATTTTCAATTACTGGGGAATCCCATACAGGCTTATGGCGAAACAGAGCTTCACCCTGCAGAAAATGGGAACAAGGCAGGGTCACCCAGAACAGGCCATTAGATGGCTCACATGCAGGGGACAATTTAAAGATGTTAATAAACCTAGACAGCAAAATGTATGGACTGTAAGGGGAAATCAGAGCACCGGGTATAAGGAAGAAGATGTAAACTCACCATGCCACTGTGCCACTCAGTAGTAGTAGTTATTTATAACAGTATAACAGTTATTTAAGCTTATGCTGCCAATGCCAAGAATAGCATGAGGAGAAAAAAGAGAATAATTGATACTTATCTGTACTTTAGACAAAGAAATGGGACTCACCTATTAAATTTTGACTGCTCTGAGCTGTTACTCTGTCCTTCCCTTCCATTTCCATATGATTATCTGAGAGGTACAGAATAATGTTATTTCTGTGAGACTGAGGAAACACAGAGCTTTTAAAGGCGTAGCCTAAAGCAAAAAAAAAAACTGGGCTGGGTTTGTTTCCATACACTTCAGCCAGTAGCTGTGAAACAGGTTAGACTTCACCACTGATAAGTGATGCAAATTTGTCTTGTGACTGCAGGAAAATCTGTGGGAGGCAGGACTCAACAGTTGTTAGATGGCCTATCTGTTTATTTAAATGCAGAGGTTATCTTTCAGGGTTCAAATCGCTACACCTTGCTAGTGGTTGAAGCGAACATAAATACGACACAATAACAGTGGTCCTTGGGGAGATAAATACAAGATGCATTTACCAATGCCGAAGTTTAAAATTAACAACGATAATAATAAGTAGGTCAAGTAC